GAGACACAGAGCTGGCCTTCAGGAAGTCCAGTACAGCAGACAGACCTGTAAACAATTTCGGTGATGAGAGAGGGGCCCGGTGCAGATATGTCTATCAGTAAAGCCTGTCCTAGAGCAGGAGTTAGCAAACTGTGGCCTGCAAGCCAAATCCAGCCTACCACCTACTTCTGTAAATAAAATTTTACTAGAATTCAGCTACACTCATTCACTTATGTATTGTTTGTGACTGCTTTTGTGACTCAACATCAGAGTTGAGTAGCTGTGACAGAAACCATGTGACCTGCACTTTACAGAAAAAGTGCTGAGTCCTGTCCTTGACGATGGGTCAGTAGGTAAGAGTTCCAAATAAAAAACGACATGGACTCTAATCCGTGCAGGCTGTCTGGATTTCTGTATGTACAACTAACACAATTCAGAGGAAGATGAGCTGGGGGATCTGACTAGGGGGAACTTTGCAGCCATGTGTGAGCTTTCTGATTGGGAAGCGGATGCCAGCAGGCACGGCAAGTCTCAGGAGGCACGGGGGGCTTGGTGAGAGCTGAGAGCCCAGGGGTGCACGCCCACAGCTGCACAGAAGGGCAGAGAGTGGGGACAGAGGGGCAGGAGGCTTTGACAACAGAGAGGCTTGTGTGGATTTGAGGCCCTGTTGAGATGACAAAAGTGATTGAATATGAAGCATCAAAGAAACGTGCAGCTCTGGAGTTGGGAAGGCCCTCAGAGGTCCTGTAATCCAAGCTCTTGCCTGCATCGGGCAAGAGAAAGGAGAGGAAGGGAGGTGACTTCCCTAAGCTCACTCAGCTAGTGAATTGGGCGGATCAGGTCTCAGTCCTGTCCCGACCTAAGCCAGGGAGCTCTTCCCCGGTTGTGAACTGAGCCCTCGGACCTTGTGGCCTAACTCTTTAGGAGAAAGAGCTGGGAAGCTCAAGCTCCATCCCTCACAGCCCCTCTCTTGTAAATTTTCTGTAGCTGTCAGCCTCCTGGTCTTTTTTCCTAGCCTCTTTTATGATTGCCCAGTCTAAAAGCTGTTCGAGGGCAAAGTCTGTGTCTGGTCCAGCTCTTTGAGTTCCTCCCTGTTCATAATGGGGACTCCACAGATGTGTGTAAACGCACTGAGCATTGAGGCCTGTATCCTGGTCTTCCCAAGCATGCAGATGGCAGGTCTGGGCTTCTCTGGGCCTCTGTTGGTTGGGGTGGGGTACATCTGCTCTGGCTGGTGTCCCTAGAGCTGAGAGGCTCCTCTAAAGGACTGCGAGGCTGCCACTAGCCCTGGAGGGGCTTTGCAGCTCCCGCGTGCAGTTGTCGCATACTTTAGTGGCCACCTGCTGAGGCTTTCCTGCGAAACACTTCACCGCCCCTGCACAAAGGGCTTCTTTCAATGCTGAATGTGTCCCAAGCAGCCCCATTAGCTCAGGGAGGATTCAGTCGGGATGCCATGCATCTTCAGTGATTGACAGAAACACCTCATTTGTTCTGACGTGTTGACGGAAAGGCTGCAAGAGCAGCCAGAGAAGACTCTCCAGCTCAGCCCATCCTGAATCGCCAGGACATGCTCCTCCCAGCGTCTTTCAGGTTTTAAGCAGGCTCTCCTTGGCTTTCTCTAGCTTGCTGGATGGGCCCCAGCCCAAATTCCTCCAGCGAGGCAGGGGTGGGTTGGAGACGTGGACGGGTCCTGGAGTGTAGTGGGGCATATGGTGTGAAGTGAATTGGATGCTATTTGCCCACAGAGTCCCAGATTCATTTGTCATCTGCACAGCAACCCATGGGTTGTCCTGAGTCAGTGACTTAGCCGGTTTAGTGACAGAGCCAAAGAGCAACGTGAGGCCAGAGTTCAGGAGCCTGGGGACACCAGGTGCAGATAGAGGGGTGGAGGGGGGAGAGAGAGAGAGAGAGAGCTGCCTTAGGCACTTTCAGGCAAAAGTAACAAAGTTGTAACTCTGGTAGGGCTTATAAACTTCTCAGCCCTCACCCCGTCTTTATCTGGTTTTATTTACAGCAAGATGGAAATTAGTGATTGACAGTAGCTTTGCAAATAAGGATGGAGTGCTATCCAGCTCGGGTTACCAAATGTTGAAACAAAGAGAGCCTCCAGTGCAAACGGTTCCCTATTGCTGAAGGAAACTAACATATATGTGCACCTGCCACATACACACCAGGGAGCGGTGTTTCCCACATCTCTGCACACTGGATCTTCACAATGGTCCCGTGAAAGGTGTTATTTTTCCTGCCGGTGGACCAGGGCTCAGCCTGGTTAAATAACTACCTAGGTGACACAGATAGGAAGGTCTGACAGGTTCCAGAGCCCATTCCTTTGCATTACAGGATGCCTCCTCCCAGAACCATGGGCACATCTTTTCCCTAGAAAAAGGACTATTTAGAAAGATTTTTAGACCCCTAGTAGGACTGGCCCTCTTTGTGGGCTGAAATGGAGGTCCAGGTAGCATATTAAAAAAAATTAAGATGTACTTTTTAATACTGTTAAGTGCACTCTTCTACAGTGTAGAATTGAGTGGTTTTTAGTATATTCACAAAGTTGTGCAAACAGCATGTAGGCGGCATGATTTGAGGCACTTCAGAAAGGGCCCTGAACCTCCTAGTGGGCCTGATATCTGCTGTTAGTCACTGGTTTGAGATGAAGCCTTCGAAGCCCCTGTCACAGTAGAGC